GATCAATTTGATATTAATTTCTAAATTAATGGACTTGAATATTAATTCATTGAAAGCAATCAACTTAATGAAATTGAATGTTTAATTTGTTGAATTAAATAGTATTAATTGAAATTAAAGGTCAATTTAAGGTTAATTTGTTGAAGTTAAATTTTGAGTTGATGAATTCAATGTGTAACTTCGTGAAATTGAAGTTAATTTAAGATGAATTTATCAGTTATCACCATTTAGGGTAAAGATATTACCGTGTTGAGGTAAGGTTACAATGATTTTCGGTGAGGAAACTACTATTTGGGGTGATGTTACGCCAATTTGGATCAAAGATTGAATGATATCACAACGATTGGGGGTGAATTTGTTGNGGTGAGGAAACTACTATTTGGGGTGATGTTACGCAAATTTGGATCAAAGATTGAATGATATCACAACGATTGGGGGTGAATTTGTTGTGCTTAGGGGTGATGGTACAATAGTTTGGGTGTTTAGTATAATTTTGGACGAATTTAGTCTATTTTGTTGATCATGCAAATATTGGGATCAATTTATCAATCATGGGGATGATGATAACACAATTTCGGAGGATGATACAACCTTTTGGGTAAATTACCATCATTTTGGATGAAATCAATCAAATTCAAAATGAATTNGGAGGATGATACAACCTTTTGGGTAAATTACCATCATTTTGGATGAAATCAATCAAATTCAAAATGAATTTATTAAGCTTTTGGGTATTGATACCACCATAATTTATTACTAATTGAAAATGATGGCAAAATCTTTGGGTTGAATTTACCACTATTTATGGTGATGATACCAAATTTTAGGGTGGTAAAACTCATTAAGTAGGTTACAAGCTGATAGTGACATAGAGGGGTGATCAATGGTTGCGATTGATCTTCAAAAAATCAATGGTTAAAATTAATTTTGGTATAGTTCCAAAATATTTCATTTCAGTATCATATATAGTCAGGTTCGTTTCATAATGTTTGAAAAGATAGTGCAATGCAGAAGCCACATCAACTGTTTGGACAAGATTCAATGTCCTTAATCTATTCACTACAGTTATTTCTGGATATAACCACATATATAAGCTCCAGTTTTCCGTAAAATCGTAAACAAATGCTTTAAAAGTCATTACCTTTGAAATCAATGCTGGAGCAGTAAGTTATAAGATTTTTACTAAATTCCAAGCCGAATGTTTCTTAATGCTCTGCACTAGGCCGTGAAAGTTTTTGAAGCTCCACTCTTTTCATGTTTTAGTATCTTTACCTAGGCCTGACAATTTTATATACGACTCGTGAAATCAACACGAATCCGACACATATTTAGCGGATTTTGGTGTAGTCTTAACGGGTTCGAGTAGTTAACGAGTTAACTCGACAGACCCGTGAAATAAATGAATCGTTTCGTGTTTAACTCATAAACTCGTTTCAACCTGTGTAACCAGTTAACAATAATACTATAAATTTTTTTAAAAAATTTGGGTCTCTCAGCCTCTGCCTCTGCCTCTGCCTCATCTCACACCTTTCATTTCTTAGACTCATTCAAATTTAATAGTCATTTAATGTTTATTTTTTGTCTTTATTTTTTTGCTCAGTCATAATTTATTGTTATAGTAAACAGGTCAAACATGTATAATATGTAGCGAGTTAATAATTTTTTGTATAGACTCGAAATATTCTAACCTATTCCTTTATTTAGAGGGTGACACACGGGTTGTATCGGATAACCGTCTAATAAATAATTCGTGTATGGGTGTAATAATTGAAATCGTTTATACAAATGAATAAGGTATGAATAGAGGATTTTTTGATATAAACTCATTTCACCTAACACGAAACCGTTCTGCTCGACACCGTCGACAGGCCTATCTTTACCGCAGCTATCCTTTCTTCTTGTTGTTGTATCCTACCTTTGTGGAATGACCCAATTAAATTTTCTCAAGAGAATCCGGTAGTTGCTTGGTAATGTTCTTAGTAGCAAATCCTCAGAAGCATGCCGGCTCCTGAAGTTGTGGAAGATGGGTCCATTCCTTTCTGCTGCCTCCAACATAGGACACTGAAAGCCGTCATTAAAATGGAAAACATAACTATTCTAACTACTTTGATCTCTACTTTGAATGCTCGAGGCCTTTCGTGCTTCGTTACATCGATAGGGCTTGGTGGAAGTTGTAGTTCAGGGATACCTCCACAAACTTTTCTATTCCCTACCATTGATATTTCGCTTACACTTTTGAAAACTCCTCCTGTTGGTACCTTACCGAACAAGTTATTTCGTGAACGGTTTGGATATCGGATGCTTTTTATAGAAGGAAAGCGGAGGGAATGGTTCCCTCAAAAACATTTCCTTGCAGACTTAGGTACTCGGGGGGCATACAATCACCAATGGTTTCTGGAATTTCTCCCAGACAATTTGGTTTTAGAGATATCCAATGCATTTATATGGTGTGCTTAACCCTACTTCCCGGNGCTCGACACCGTCGACAGGCCTATCTTTACCGCAGCTATCCTTTCTTCTTGTTGTTGTATCCTACCTTTGTGGAATGACCCAATTAAATTTTCTCAAGAGAATCCGGTAGTTGCTTGGTAATGTTCTTAGTAGCAAATCCTCAGAAGCATGCCGGCTCCTGAAGTTGTGGAAGATGGGTCCATTCCTTTCTGCTGCCTCCAACATAGGACACTGAAAGCCGTCATTAAAATGGAAAACATAACTATTCTAACTACTTTGATCTCTACTTTGAATGCTCGAGGCCTTTCGTGCTTCGTTACATCGATAGGGCTTGGTGGAAGTTGTAGTTCAGGGATACCTCCACAAACTTTTCTATTCCCTACCATTGATATTTCGCTTACACTTTTGAAAACTCCTCCTGTTGGTACCTTACCGAACAAGTTATTTCGTGAACGGTTTGGATATCGGATGCTTTTTATAGAAGGAAAGCGGAGGGAATGGTTCCCTCAAAAACATTTCCTTGCAGACTTAGGTACTCGGGGGGCATACAATCACCAATGGTTTCTGGAATTTCTCCCAGACAATTTGGTTTTAGAGATATCCAATGCATTTATATGGTGTGCTTAACCCTACTTCCCGGGGTAGGGACCTGTTCAATGACTTTTGTGATAAGTCAAGGTATAGGGAGGAGATACTAGTGACCTATTTGGGCACGAGGCCACTGAGGTTATTTTGCAACACATCCAGGTCTACTAAATTTCGATAGTTTCCAATACTTGAACGTATATTCCCTTCTAATTTGTTATATGATAAAGAGAGACGATATAACTGAGGTTGCCCACGGAGGACGGGATTTGCCCTAAAAATCTATTTCCCTCTAGCCGTTCTTCCAAATTTTGGAGACTCCCAAAATAATTGGAAATGGCACCTGTGAAAAAGTTGTTACTCAATTGTAACCTGTACATGATAACACCCAATATATGATTTTCCTCTTGGCATAGTTCTTTGAGTTGATTTGCGAGATTGCCTATGAAGTTGGGTAATTCACCTCCAAAGTTATATCCATTGAAGTAAAATCATTGCAAATTGCTTCAGTTTGACAAAGATGTGTTAAAACTCAAGTCTTGACTTGTATTAGTGCCCAAAGGATCATAACCATACTCCATATATTGAGCCATTGAAGAGATTCTAGAAGTCCTAGATTTGTTGGAACTCATCCAATGAAAGAGTTGGACGAAAGATCAAGTATTGCAAGTTTTGAAGCGTTGGGAAATGAATTTGGTATTTGCCTCCAAAGAATTCATTATCACCAATACCGAAGACTTGTAGTTTTCGTAGAGTTTCATCCTGTGTACGTATCTGTGAGCAAAAACTTGAAATGATATGGACTTTATAGAAATGAAAATGATAACATTTAAGACTGTCTAAACAATTTATTTTATTTTTTTAGAATTTGTTGGCTTACTTTCATAATAGATCTAAAGAGTTTTCTTCTCAAGAACATGCTACTTCGGCGGAAACTTGTTTCATTGGAAATATATGATCCCAAGCATATGTGAAGTTGATTGATGTGAATCCATAGATAGGTAAATTGTTGTTGATAGTGCATACATCTCCAGATTTCGACAGGATCAAAGGATCAACTTTTTCAACAGTTTGAAATCCGGGACAAAATAACTTCACTGCCAACAGTTTTTCAATGTGGCGATTGTCACATTCCACTCCGGCTTGTCCTGTATTCTTTTTCCGGTTGCAACTTGGTTGACGGTGACGGTGTTCGGTTCATATTCAAGTGTGCCTATAATGCAAAAAAAAAAAAAAA